TTATTTAACAAAGCAATTCACTAGTTAAAAACTGTTCCTTCGCACTTATCACGTGTACATAAGCATTTTTGAATATCACAAAACAACAGTTATCTTCAATAAGCTTCAGCAAATAGGGAATATTTTATGCAAAATAGAAAGCCGTCGTAGTTTAACACTGACGTTACTCGCTTTTGTAACGAAAATTGTACAGAAATAATTTGACAAAGGAAATTATTCGTAAGTCCGTTTATCAAATTTCTAATTTACTTCTCATGCACCGCCTGCAATTATTCACGTTACATTTTGCGATTGATAACAGAATAGCAGAGGGAAATGGGAATGTGTGTTCGGGTTGAGTCACGTCACCTTACGGCAAGGTAATTTGCGCGTAAATCAACAAAAGGCTATTTATCCTTTCTTTATACCGCCGCGGCGAAGTGGGGGGGTGGGGGAGGGGGGTGGGGGGGAGAAAGGCAGAGGGCGGAAACGAATTTTCAATTACCACGTATAAAAGAACGGGTAATTCACAGTCTAAAATGTCTCCGCGATGCGTACACATCGCGAGCGGCGTGGCGAGTGGGCCTGAAAAGATTTCCAAATTAAATTTCGGGATTAGTATCCGGGTTTAATGCGGACAAGTGATAGCAGAAGACGTCCCAAGGGTGTGCTACACGCTACCTTGGTCCCCCCCGAGACCATCATACACACGGCCCACTGTGTAACGACGCGACGACGTGCCGCCCTTCCTCGCTCGTAACACTTGACGCGTTTCCATTTGCTGGATGTAAACTTGTTCTCTCTTTTCCGTTCTCTCTCTCTCTCACGTTTCTCCCTGTCCCTCTCCTTCTGGAGCGTCGATCTTTGGGAATGTCCGGTCTCTCGCACCGCTGTGCTAGGGACGGACAAAAACACGATACATAGGTCGTACAAACAGCAATCCCATTATTTAAAGCCGACAGTGGACACGCTGCAGTACTTGCGCACGATGAAAAGACTATTTCAAGTTTTACTTTGAAGTGGTGAACAGTTAGCGGAACAATTCTAAAATATGAAATTATAAAAAATCGATCGCTAGTTTATGCAAAACGGAACGGTAACTTTGGAGCGTCTCCCCTTAAAAAGGAATTTCTTTGGATTGTTGGAGCTAAGAATTATACATAATAGTATAAGTTCCAATCTTAATAGAATTGATTTTCCTATCAGGATTCTGGATATCGCTATTTTTAGTATTCTTTATCCTTGTGTCTTTAGCGAGCACAGTTTTGTGCCGCTTCCTCGCATTTGACATTTGGTTGCCGAATTAAAGCAACATTTTCGCTTTGTATGTATGTGACAAGTGAAAGAACGCGCTAAAACGGAGAATTTCGTTGGTTCCAGCGCGTAAAAAATAAGACTTGGCAAACAAGTTTCTTTCGGTATGGGACGCCGCTTTTTTTCGTCATCTTTTCGGTAGAGAAAGACCTGTTCTTTCACCAACTAGCTTCTCGATGTCTGTTAAACTGTAAAAGAAAAAAAGAAACACGCACGCATACCCATTTGCAGCGATTTCGCCGTTGGATTGGAAATATAATTATCAGTGGTGTGTACAGCATTGAGTCGCGGGAATATCAATTATCCGGGAGGCGAAGAAGTCGAGCTCTAGGTTTCTCGAGGCTAGGTTTCGACATGAACGGTCCGACGCGAAACTTAAGGCTTTAACAGCTACTAAAGCGAAAGCCTGCCTCTGTCTCGCTCCTCGGCACGGGAAACAAGCCGTGTTAGACGAAGGGGTATTTTGAGGGCCGCCATTGGCCATCCACGTTCCTTATTGTCGGTTGCCTGGTAACCGGCCTGCTACGAACACAGGTACACCCCCGATGGCAACCATCCCGCAGCCGCCGCTGACGCACACCATCAGACGCGGACGAGCGTAACCCACCACATCACACCACCGGTGGCAACCCTCTCCGCGAGTCTTTCCGCGCGTACACGCACATCCCCCTGTGTTCGCTTTGATCGCGTCCATGTATACTTCGGGGTTTCCCCGGGCGCGTAAAGTATGCGTAGCATGAATACATTTAGCCAGGAAGCCCTACCCCTCTTTTAACGCGCGAGACAACCTTCGAATTGTCGACTTTTAATGGCCGTATCTAGCGTCTAATATCTAATGTATGGGATACTCGTAATTCGCAAATCTCAGAACCGGCCGGAGGATTGAACGGAGATATTTGCTATTCTTTTTAGAATTCACTCAAGAATAATTGGAAGCATTCGGAGTTTCCACGCTATGACAGTGTGTATTAACCAATGGTCAACTATGAATGGATGTGTGTGTGCGGAATCCCAGCGCATATACAACGCTACTTCATATTTATCTCGTGTTATATAAAAGTCATTCTAGCGAAGCACCGCGGGTGGATATTATTGTAAAGGAAGCTGGTAAGATACAGCTATTCTACCTAACTGTTATAAATTCTTAAAATCGTAATAGCGAATGTAATTTATATTAATAAGCACAAAATTGGATGTATTACGATACCTTCCTAACAAGCCGACGTAACACGATAAGAGCTTTAATGTCCAATACACCATTGAGAGACCGAACGAGTAATTATTTTTCGAGAGCTTGTACCCTTTGGGGAAGGAATTCTGGAGGGAGGCTGCGACGTATCCGAGGGTATTACGGGATTAGGTCCAGGGCGAATTAGATAATCTGGCTAACGTTCCGCGTATTGATGCATACATCGGCGCATACGCGTAGCCGCTCGCGTAATAGCCAACTAGATTTGATTAATCGATTCGATTGCGTATTCCTACTTAAACGACGTGACACACCTACTCAGACGTTTCCTCGTACGCACAATATCGATTGCTCTCACGTTGAGCACCAGCCATGGTAACGAATGCTACGGACACTGACTCGTGCGCGCTAACTCAGGACGATACATATTTTAGATCCCCCTCTGGATTGAATCTCTTTTACACCAAATGTCAGTAAAGTAACACGGAAAGAACAATGTAGCTGCTGCAGCTAAAACTTAGCAAAATAGGGACAGCTAATATTTTTAGTTGTGGTAGCTCAATATTTTGCAGCAAACCGTTTGCTGTCGCACCTAATACAATAGGCACAGTAGCAAAATATTGAGCTATCACGACTAAAATATTAGCTGTCCCTATTTTGCTAAGTTTCAGCTACAGCAGCTACATTGTTTTTTCCGTGAATTTCATCATTGTTATTTCTTCAGCGTGAGAGAGCGTAAAATTTTCCCGACACAATTAGCAACCCTTGCTTTAGCGCGACGTTTATGTTTTCGGTGCAAACGGGATGATCGATTCGACGGCTCGAAGTAAGCGAGCGCGCTTAAATAAGGAGGCAATGTGGAAGCGGGGATTTGAAGAGAGTCTCCGTACAGAACTGAAAACAGTACGTCGCGTAAACTATAAATGTTAACTGCGCTTCGAGCTCGAAATATTTATTTTTTCTCCACTCGACCGTTATTTTTCCTCCTGTTACATTTACACGTGCTCGACCGCCTGCGCTGGTCGGGCAATCTCGCGATTATGATAATCTATCCACAACGAAACACCAGTTCACTCATTGCAACAATGAACATTGATCCTCCTGGTACTCGGTGGCTGTTAAAAATCTTTCGCGATAACATTCGCTCGCATTCAGGAATGTAATTTGCGTATGCACGCAAACGTAAATGTGCACTTATTATTGTCATAATAAAAAGCGCAAATTGTTACAATACAACCGTATGGCGCGGTGCGAAAGAACTTTGCGATATTCAGCGTGATTTAAAAAAGGTATCTATGTATATCCTCGCGCGAAAATAGCGTCCAAATGTCGGGCTAAGCGAGAAAAAGTGTCGACCAATCTCCCAATGTACTAATGGTGACGTCAGCGAACGTTTCAGACTCCAATTAGTCGAGGGACACGTATAATTGGAATTTAGCTCTTAATTACTAGTTAATTAGCTACCGGCAGTATCAGCGACAGCGGGAACGGTAGTAACGAGAGTCACCCTTGGGGAAAAGTTCCATTGTTGCGCATAGGCGACGCTCCGGGCCGCTTTTCGCTCGTTAAATTGACATTAAATTAATTTATAATTAATAATTATTTTTGGCTCGCAGCCATTTTATTCGCGGCACGGATCTCATTCGAGTGAGCCTTTACGGGTGTCGTGCGCGCGATGCGCTTCAATTCTTTTTTTTTTTGGACAAATTTGTCATCATTGCCACCGCGTGTGCGATAATTATTTCAGAGAGATTTAATAAGTTGTGGACTATCGTAATTGTAGCGTGCAATTTCTTTGATAGAAATGCGCGCGCGGCGAATAATTGAGAAATCAACTGATATGCAATTTATAAATCAATTGCAAATTAGATATTTATATGGTTTTTTTGAAATTATTTCTTAACGTTTATCTTTAATGTTTAATTTTTCTCTACGTTGACTTGTACTCCTTTTATGCAGGAAAGAGACGAGGTTAATTAAGTAAACTTAAGTAAGCTTTATTTAAGAACAAAATAATAGTTAATCTCGTTGGATACTTTGATAACAAAGCAAAGTAACGCAGAAAGGAAACAATTGTTGAGGAAGCAATCGCGGAAATGCAAAACTCGCTTTTTAGGCACATACTAGATTGGTATATTCCGAGTCCAAATCATTGACAAGACTGGTATAATAGGTAATTTGATACGTGATGTATGCGCGGCTACAATATACAGAGCTGTATAATCATCAATTACAGATAATGCTATCAAATAATGAGCTGCGAATTCAGTAAAATATTATTCTCGACACATCTCTGATTTTTGGTAGCGCACAAACGTTAATTTCATTAATTTAACGCGTGGTCTGCTTCGCAATTGTTGTGCTTTTATTTCGTGTCTTTTACTAAAGAATACTAAAGAATAAAATTGCGATAACAGTAATGACAAATAATACAAAGGTATACTTAAATTTTCTCGAAGCTAACGATTCAAGCCTAAACATCACGAATATTCACACTTGTGTTCTTCTGTTATTGCAGGTGTTGGACACAACATAGAATCAGGGAAAGATTTCACGGTGGATGGACTCTCGGGTTTCAGTAAAAAAAAGAAGAAGAAACGCCGTCATAGGTGAGTGTCTGACGGAAACTTTAACTAATGCATTTCTCGCCTTGGACCACATTAGTTCACACGAAACAGAACTACTCTATACTTTGATTATGAAACGATCTCTGTCCAGTGATAGCAGTTTGTAATCAGTCAACATTTTCTTCATTTAAAAGTTTTATTATTTTGTATTACCGCGAATTGACAGGTTCTAATGAATTTTTTGATTCTGACGTAATGGAATATTTGGGGTTATTATTCTATATGAAATAACTTTGATATCCAATTGAAATTCAAAACGTAAAGTGAAATATTACACAAAATCTTTGCGCTCTCAATTATTATGTTATTCGATAAATGTTATTTAAAACAACTGCCTACACAATCAACATCTGAATGCAATTACAGATTTTTTTCGGGAGATAATTGTACGGCGTTTTAACGAACAGATAACTTAACTTTTATAGTTTTTAACTGCACGAAAGTCTCGGCGTAATTACAGAACCAAACGACACGGCAATACTTTCTACATTATAATTTTTATTATTTATGCGTGTCTTATGGACGCTGAAAGGCAGACTAATAATGTTATATTAACAAGCGATGTTACCAGCGAAGATTTACACTCTATGATCTCATACTTTTATATAATCTCTTGTGGATAACTTTAATGTGAAGTAAAAAATGATATTGCTACGTGTTATAAATGGAGCATAATGTATTATCTTGCGTGTAAAAAATGTAATTATTCTAACACAAGAAGCAATTCGAATTTGGGAAAAGGGATCTTTGTCGAAATTTTGTACAATATTTTGCTCGGTTACGTTTATAATAAAGAAATAATATTTTATTACGTGCGTACGTAAAGGCTATTGTGTAGACGGATCCTCGTTACTTTGCAATAAATGCAAATAGGTAGATGAAATTATTCATAATTCTGATGGTACAAATTTTTAATTAGCGCTTAATTCAACGCACTTGATATTTTGACGCGATCGCCGCTCGAAGATTCGAAATCAATCCCGTAGAATTCGAAAGGATTACGAGGCAGTCTTTGAACGAGCGCACAAAACTGAAGTAAAATTGTCGACGATTTTCGCGTGTCCGCTTAACGAGCGGATGATCGTCCGGGAAATGACTTTCAATTTCGAAGCTTTCGTTCGGCCCACAAAGGCAGATGCCAGCTCGTTCTCCGCGCAACCTACAATTTGTCGAATCGCAAGACTAATTGGACATCTTGCCGTCAAATTCGCTTCTCCAGTTTCTGTCGTATCACGCGCATATGTGCCTTCTGGCTGGACACTCGTCTACCGTTGATTGTCCATCGCGCGTTGCACAGTTATACATCTTGCTTATGAAAAAGAAGGAGAAACGAAGTAATCATTGGTTACTGACGCGCTCGTCTCACCTCTCGTTTCTACATCGTATCTGCATCGACAAAACGTGTGCCCGTTTGCAACTAATTGTAAGCTAATGACGGAATATATACTTGCGACCACTTAGGAAAATGGACTTGACGGCTGCTGAGGCGAAATGTTCACGTTGTAATGAGAATGAGAGTAGCTGCGGGTATATTATCGAGAGGATGATTAAATTAAATTAACATTTCTATTATTGCCAGCGCGAAACCGTGCATGTGTATGCTTGGCAATTTTTGTACAAACACTAATGTAGTTATTACGTTCGGATAATATAACAAAATGTAGTGTTTGAATGATAGAAATGAAACACGTCCCCCTCTTCCCTCGCCCTTTGCGCACATGTACATTTCTTTCTTAATTTCTTGCTTACAAACATGATCTTGCAATTATTTATTTCTCTCTTTAACAAAAAACGTACCAAGTGCACTATATTTATTGATTTATTCAACACTTGATGTGTCCACGCGAAAATCGTATAGGCTTAAGATTTGATGTTTATTAATCGTGCGATGGTATCGGGCTTGAAGTCTGTAGTATATTTTAAACGAATGTATTTGTCGCAAAAGAACACTCGCTTATAAAGTCACTTTACTAGTTAAGTTTACTAGTCAAGTGATTAATAAAATTTTTAATATTTTTCGCTCTGACATTCCTACGCGAACGCCAAGCATACTGCTTGAATTTTCGTTTGGTTTTTCGCGGGAGTAGGATAGATTTAAGGTAGAAGCTCTGTAATGGCATATAACTAGGTTCATATGGTTGTTGCTCCAGGACGATCTTCACGTCACAGCAGCTGGAGGCGCTGGAGGCAGCTTTCAAGGAAGCCCATTATCCTGACGTCTATGCCCGCGAGATGCTGAGCCTGAGGACTGATTTACCCGAGGACAGGATACAGGTAAATAAAAATTGGAAACATTTGCGTCTGCGTACGTTAGAATTTTGTATAGCGGGATGAAATTGAGCCGGGCATTCTTGTCGTTGAAATAATCGTGCGGGCAAGTAAGTTAATATTAGGTAAAAAATTGGAACGCTACTGTTGGAAAGTGAATCCCGTTGGACTCTTCATTCGCGGCAATAAATGCAGCGTTCAGAATACACAATTACGGCTATCTACGATTACTGTCTCAAAAAGTTAAATGAATAGGAACTTATTCCAGCCACTGTGTGCCACCGAAAACGATTGCCTATATTGATCCTCCCTGGCCACTCTCATTCCTTTCTGAACTATTAAAATTTATTCTTATCGTTGAAATAATCGTGCAGGCAAGTAAGTTAATATTAAGTAAAAAATTGGAACGCCACTGTTGGAAAGTAAATCCCGCTGGACTCTTTATTCGCGGCAATGAATGCAGCGTTCAGAATACACAATTACGGCTATCTACGATTACTGTCTCAAAAAGTTAAATGAATAGGAACTTATTCCAGCCACTGTGCCACCGAAAACGATTACCTATATTGATCCTCCCTGGCCACACACTCTCGTTCCTTTCTGAACTATTAGAATTATTGATACGACGGTTGACAATCTCGCAGTGGCTTCGCAACAGTCTGCGACTCATCGTCAAGGGTAGAGTATGGCGGTAGCAAAAGCCGCGATAAAAGAGAGAAATTTCCAGAGCTGACGGTTAGTTACTGCGTACCTATGGGGAGTAGTAGGCTAATATCGGTTTCCGCATGGCAAACCTGGAACAAGCTTCTCTTTCTTTCTCGCTCATTTCTGGTGTCCCCTCTGTGCACCGCCTTTTTTCTTGCTACACCTCTCGTTCTTTATCTCTCAGTGTCCTAGTTGTTTTTATTTTACATCGACGTTCTTCTTCTTACGCTACGAAACAACGCCCGTACGCGTCTACCCAAGGAGAAATGAAAAGATGACGTCAATTTGATGCCACATTGACCAAATTTACGTCACACTTTGGTCAGTATGGCGTCAAATTGACGTCATCTTGACTTTTCATTTCTCCTAGGGATAATGCAGATGTATGAGAAACGCAGGTTGTATCTCTCGTTCGACCATTGTATACGACTTTTCGAAACAATTTTAACAAGCGAATGAGGTACGGGTTATAAGTGGGGATGTCTACTGCAAGTGTTTCGGCGAGACCCGTGACGTGTGGCGAAATACAAAATATGGCCGCAGCGAACTGCATCTTTTTTTCAGACGTTATGCGCGTTACCGTTAAGCCTGTATTAGAGCGGGGGTAATTTTATTGAAAGCAGCGTTTGCTAAACCGATTTCTGGTTACCCGACGACACAATGCGCCATAATACACGCGTTGCAAACGATTTCTAGTTACTCGTGAGATTTGCATTCGTGATAATTGTTTGACTGTTGTTGCGAATTTGTGAAAAAAAAAATACTAAGAATCGTGCGTGTGCTCCCGCGCGCGTACACGCATATTGTAGCTTCCGCATCAATTGGCTTCTTGTAGATTTAACACGCGGTTCAATTAAAAGTCCAAAATTTTTCTATCGTCATTCTTTTCCTTTCTTATCGTTCCAATAAAGAAGAGAAAGAAAGGGAGCGAGAGAGAGAGAGAGAGAGAGGGGGGGGGAGACTCTTTAAGTATTGCAACGTGAAGTTTTCATCTATGATACTCCGATTACGTGCGTATACATACACATTAACACGGCTTGCGTATATCGTACATCAGAGGTGCCCAAGTGGATTCAACTAAGAGATTCCTCACCCTGCTTGTACGCCCCCTACTACCACTAACTTATCACGCTTGTCGATTCGCATCGTAGACCAGGGGAAACGGGGAAAGCCCGTGTAGTGGGAGAAAATGGCCCGCGGGCCACGACTCGGACACCTCTGTATGTATGTGAATGAGCGTTCCCTGCAGACATGTACATATGCACGCAACCTGTACGCGGCAGCCAGTGATTATATTTTGATATAATTCGAGATACGAGGGCGGCTGCCGCGAGCGGCGGGGGTGGCTGGTGAGCCTTTAGGAGGGAGACTGGAGGGGGCGAGGGCGCGGGGGTTGGGGAATCGTGACGGCACGGGGTTGTCGAGGCTGCTTGAAGCGTGCAGGCGCGTACACACAGAGTGCCGGGGAACGACAAAGCGGCCATTACAGGATGGGTGCGGTCCCGCGGGCCAATCAGAGAGAGGAGTCAGGGACCGGACGGCCAATCAGAACGCGCTTTCCACCCGTCTTTTGTTTCTAAATTTGCGCGCGCGACGGGGACACAATATAACGAGGCGCGAGACGGAAAGAGGAGCTGATAATCGTTAACGGGGATATTTTTACGCGGGGAGTGGCGTCCTTCTCCCTCTGTCGCCCACTTCGTCTCGTTTCTTCCCGTCCTGTCTCGCATATTTTGCTCTTTATTTTCAAATTTGTCTTTGTCTCCGTTCAGGTGAATTAGCGAGTCACTTAAACGCCGCGTAGCGTTTTCGTGGATTGTCTGAATTCCGAAATTTTCTAATCTCACACGATTATCAGAAGGTTGTTAACTGATTTACACGTTATGCTTACTTGCTCCAAACGCTGTACTTAATATTTTATTTCTTGGCCAACATCTACGTCCATTTACTCCAATTTGTCCACGTGTGTAGTATTGTAATCGTATCTTGCTATTTTCACTACTCTGTCAAATATGCTCGTTCGATTGCATTTTTCAATTTTTATAATATACAAAGTATCGCTGTGTATTGAATCTATATTTTTAGGTATAATTAATTTTCATATATTTGTAAATTTTCGAGAAAGACTTGGTTAATATACCATTTGATGGAAGAATTTTAAAAGAACGTTCTTTCGCGCAAATAAATCAGCAAACAGCAGTTTTGCTCTCTGAAGAATTAATTATTCAACAAGACTTGTTATTGACAAAATCGAAATAATACAACTGTAATTAGCTATGCTAAAAAAGTGTATGCCGTTGAGGAAATTGGATAATAAATAAATACAACGTTGAATTTTTTTAATCGCAAAATATTTCACACTTCTTCTTTTTGCACGCGGAGAGAATTTTCTCTTAAAGTGTATCCTGAAAATCTTGTAATAGTGAGACAACATGGCATTTCGATGGATGAGGAGAGTTTTTTGAAACTTTACCGTACATTTTACTGGGAAAATGTTGTACTAGTAAAATGTATGGTGAAAAAAAACTCACAAAGTTGTTCGATATACCATGTTGTCCCACAATTACATAATTTTCAGGGTAAATTTTAAAAGGATATTCTCTCCGTGTACATAATAGTACGGTAAAAAATTGATTACAGTTTCCTAATAGTAAGGGATTAAATTGCTATCTTTTATCTTGACAATCTTTGGCTAAACGTCGCAATCGTAACTAAATAACTGGAACGGGAGATTTCCATGCTAATGGAATTGTCCTGTGCTTTGGCAATTTCAAGTCGATCTCTGAATGCGACCAAGTGTTATTGTTTAATGAAATTAATAGTTTCAGATACATTGATCTGATGTATGTATAAAAGATTAATTAGTTATGCTTGCGAACTCCATAAATCGCTGGCTATTACTGTATGGAAGCTGCTCTTATATGCATTTTTCGTAGAAAGAATAAAACAAAGTGGACAAATACAAGAAATATAATTTATATGTAATGATAAGATACGAAATCAGTTGGTAAGACAAGAATAAAGTAAACATTATTTATATGCATTACATTTCCGCGCTTTGCGTTTGTAAACGATATTTCTGCCAAGTTGTGCCCATCCTAAATTGTGCGTCACTAAATCTATGTAAAATAACATTTAGGTGAATAATATCATCAAAGCGCACGTCGTTCGAAGTAATCGCGTAAAGCAGGTTTGAAAATCATTTGATCTAATTGCGACAAAAAGTATCCGCGGTTGGAAAATTCTGCAAACTCTTGCAAAAGGCTTTACACGCGTATGTTCATATCGTTCCCGTTATTATTATATTTACAGTGGATTCGCTAGTTTTGTTGTCATTTTGTCGGCGCGCGACCACTTTACTAGAAGCACTAGAATGCCGAAGAAACGTAGTTGAAACCTCCTGCAGCGAGGTTAATCGAAATGTCTTCAACAGACCGCCGGACCGGCTTTTTATATATGGACTTTACTAAATATCGCTGTAGAATAAAACACACATCTGTTTGTGTGTTGGATATCATTGCGATGAAGAGAGCAATTGGCGGTTTTTCTTGATTGTAATTTCTTTGGTGCATTATATCGCTATGAGGAAGATTAAATGTTTGGAATTTCTAACGTGCAATCAGTTTCCCTGTAAATGACACAAGGGAGGCAACTCGTTATAGCGAGCTCGTGCTCGCAGCTCGGCTGCGTCTGATTGGCGGGTGGAATCACGCACAAACGGACATAATTTCGGCGATCTGAGGGTTATGGTTTCTTATGGGGAGCGCGCGAAAATTGCACCCTGTATTCCCACCAGTCCTTTTCGCGCGATCGATACGCGCAGAAAGGGTCCCGCGTGTTACGGAGTGATTTGAAATAAATTATAATAGAAACTGATCGAGCATTGAGCTATTATGTAATTAGAGCTGCGCGAGAGCTGGGCATTGTGAGAATACGAGTCGGTTAATATTTTGTGCAACGTTCACATGTCTCGATGCTGCTTTATAGCTCCCGTTTTCTTTTTAATTAGTCAACAAAGTTGACTGAATTTATGAACAACGAGAAGAGAAGCTTTGCATAAATGAAGAATAATTTTTAATCGAGCAAGAACTTTTATATACCATCAGAGATAATCGAAAAACTTGTAAACGGCGGGTAAATATCGCGTTGGTCGATTTACAGGATTGATTATGCTGGTCCAAATAGACCGTAAAATTATATTTTCGCGGGGACAGTGATTTCCCCCCCCCCCTTTGAACAATTTATTGCGCGTAACGAGATTGTAAGCTCGTGAAAGGAAAGACGGTGCATAAGATCGCGCC